CTGCCACCAAGCACCACTGGACAGAAAGGCAGTGACGGTGTCCTCACTCAGCTTAATCATCGGATGTGACACAGTGTGACCTATGGCTCTTCCTCAAAGTCAAAATGACCACAAAAGGAAAATGTTTTTAATCAGTTCAGGGCATTAAGGTAACCATGACAGTGTAGATGAACAACTCACAGGACTTCCAGAACTGCTTCAGAAAGTGGTAAGAACACAGCTGAGTGTGGGTGCATGCCTATCATCCCAGCACTCAGAAGGGGGGCAGAGGCAGGAGGGTTACCACAAGTTCAAAGCCAGCCTGGGCTACACAGAGTTCAAGGACAGCCTGCACCACACCATGAGACCCTGTCTCAAAAAAACAGGAAAAAAGAGAGAAAAAAAGAAAGAGGCATGAGCAATGCAACAGTGTTTGAAAAAAAGGGGATTAATAGCAATGTGTCTTAAAAACTTAAGCATTCACCAGTATATTTCAATCATGTCTCGTATGTTTTTTCAAAACATGTGAAAAGTATAGGGGTTTTCATACTAGGGTGATTTTAGCAGAAAGAAGAGGCAGGCTGAAAGTACTCTTTCCTCTGAGACACTGTTTTTAGGTTTGTTGAGACAGGGTCTCACTGTGACTTCAAACTGTCCTGGCTCACTGTGTAGCCACGCTGTCCTCAAACTCTTGCTGATCTTTCTACCCCAGCCTTCCCAGTGCTGGGATTACTGGCATGCAGTACCATGCCCAGCTGACACTGATTTTTCTTAGAAGGTAAGGGGATTTTTGTTGTTTCACTATGTTGCCTAGGTCAGTCTTAAACTCCTGGACTCAAGTGATCCTCCTGAGCAGCTGTGACTACAGGTTTGCACCACATTTTAGGGAAATTTCTGAAGCTGCTTTTAGTGACAAATTTGACAACTGTTATCAGAAGGAAGCTGGTTCCAACACTAACAGTAAGGGGGCCACTTCCCCAGGGGAAGTAAGTATCCGTAGGCACCAGTGTGGGACAGAAGGAAAGGGAGATCAGAGGGTCTGGTAGATAACAGAGGGAGTCACAGGCTGTGTACAAGAAGGATGCAGTGGGAACCATGGGGCCTGGAGGGGAGCCAGGAGCCCTTGGCTTCGATCAATGGCCATGCAAGTTTGAAATCAATGAGCCCATTTATGCTAAGACTCAAATGTTTTGATTGATTGTATGAAACTCACATAGGTCACCCAGAAAAATCCAAGAAAGAGAATACATTTCATCACGTTCCACTGTTGTGAGTGTCCTGAAACTGAATCACTAGGCACTGAATGGCTACAACTGAAGAGGTGGACTGGGGTATGACTGCACTCAGGGTGATGAGGCAGGAGGGTCTCGAGTTGTCAGCGTGAGCAACTCAGCAAGACTCTGGCTCAAAATAAAGAGGGCAAGGGGCTGGGGATTTATCTCAGTGGCACGGCACCTGCCTCGCAAGCACAAGGTCCTGAGTTCAATTCCCAGTACTAAAAAAAATCAAACAACAACAACAACAACAACAACAACAACAACAAAGGGCCAAGGATTTAACTCAGTGAGAGGGTTGGCTCTGGGTTCAATCTCCAGTACTGAAGAACAAAAACAGACAAGCAAGTAAAAAGAAACCAAACAAAATGAAGCTAATACCACGAAGACCAGACCAAAATATATCCCTGAGGCAAATTAGTGATCTCTAGAGGAACAAGGGAGGGAGAAAGGAAGGAAGAGACAAGAAAAAAAGTGAAACAGAAGGAAAAAATGGAAATAAAGCTTTAGTACAAAGGGAGGGGAAGGGGCTTGAAAGGGAATGGGATAAAATAAAATTTATTTTAAAAAATGTGTCCTCTCTAGCTCTTTAACTAGAATGATTCTCAGGAGCACAAGCAGAATTTACAGAAATGGTAAACTGGGCAGCTGCCCATGAAACTTTGTGAGGCAGGCACACTGCCACGGTGCCCCACCTAGGTCTGATTACTAATCTGTCAAGCACGGCCTCACACCTACTTGTGGAGAATGGGTATTTGTTGGAGACTGAATTTAAACCCTGATAAGCTCAAGAAAATGTTGCACTGTCGTATCCATCAGCAGACAAGGTTTTTAGACAGGGTCTCATTTGCAGCAATTCTGCTTCAGTCATGCCCAGTAGTACTATGCCTTTTTAAAGAAATAAATTTATAGGTTTGATCCCTGGTACAAACACACACACACACACACACACACACACACACACACACACACACACACACGCACACACGCACACACGCACTGCTTTGAGATTCTATGAAGTGCAATAAGATAACAGTATGGGAAAAGGAGAAAAGGCCAACATTTCAACCAAATGAGTAGCACTCCCCAAAAGCAAAACAAAGGAATTATGTTCTATCTGGTTTCTGGTCCCTGCCCCTGGACTGGACCCACGGCCTCACACGGAGCTACACTCCTAGTTCTTTTCACTTTCTATTTTCAGACAATGTCTTGTTAAGGTACCCAGGTTGGCTTTGAACTTGTACTGTCAGCCTGAGCCTCCCTAATACCTAGGTAAAGGGCTGTGCCACCATGCCCAGCCATCTGTGTGTTTTTTTTTGTTTGTTTTTTGGTACTAGGGATCAAACTCAGATCCTTGTGCTTGTAAGTAAGGCAGGCTCCAGAATCAGGCTAAATTCCTGGCCCTATTCTTTTTTTTTTTAACACCGAAGATTTGCTTTTGATGAAGGTAAAGAAACAAACACACATGTGCTCATTAGTTACATGAACTAGAGGTTTTCCCAGACCAGGGATCGCACCCACGTATTTTCCATTTGGGGACAGGAGAGAGAGACCCTCTCTCAGACAAACCCACACATTTCTATCCATCTTGTGATGATCTAAGAAGGAGCAGTAGTGAAAGTCCGGGTGATCTAGGCAAGTGCTTTGTGACTCTTTCCCACACAGCTCAGGTGTCTGCACTACATGAAGGTCACACGGTGCCAGCTGCCTGGGCGCTCCTCACAGGATGGCCCTGCCCCTGCACTGGGAAGGGGCACTGCGAGAGGCTTTCCCGAGCACGGCAGCGTTCAGCGCATCCTCCATCCATGACCTCCACAACGTCCCCACATACTGCCCAGCTCAGCACCTGGGCACTGACACCACAGGGCACAGCTGCCCAGCCACCCTGCCAGACAGCAGAACCATCAGCGCAGTCACAGCTATGGGACTTTACCAGCCCTGTACATCTGCTCAGGTTTCACCTGTAAACCTGTTTAGCCTTGACAGAATCTCCCTGCTTAGGAAGTAATTGTTTTTCTACACATTTTTCAAGTTTATATACTTTACCTAGTTTACTTTTTTTAGCTGAAATTTTACTGAAGAAATGCTCAAGAGCCCAAAAATGTGGGCAAGTATAGGACTTAGATGCTGTCTTTGTTAATTCCATTAAAAAAAAGAAAATAACAACTTGCAAAGTAGAAAATAAGCAGTATTTACTGTCACATTTTGTTTCTGAAGATGATTCTTTGAGGGTACTGCCCACGTATCTCTAAATTTCTCTTCTTTGAATCTGGTAGAGCTTACACCACCATTAAAACAATACCAAAGGCAGGTAAGCTGTCTTGAACATGAATTCATCAAGAGACCTCCTCCCCACACTGGGGACAGGACCGAGGGCTCTGCACCGCAACATTCCCAGTCCTTAAAAATTCCGACACAGGCTCTTGCTATGCTGCTCAGGCTGGGCTTGAACCTGCAAAGACCTTCCTGCCTTTGTCTCCTGCTGCACCCAGCCAGGAGAATCTTACTTAGGTGGGTAACGGGGAAGGGATGTTTCGAGATGGTGTCTACACTGCCCACCTTCAGAGCTTGCCTTTCACTTTTGTTCTGAACTCTAGGGTTGGCTGGAAGATGAAGAAAAAGCAACAAAATGAAAATAATCCCATGAAAAAACAACAAAAAACCTAATTCAACAGGTTCAGCTTTAGACATGTTATTCCAGTAATGAGCATACATTTTATGTCTAACAAAAATAACTATTGATACAAGATCCCAATGATGAATGTAACTGTACTGTATACCTAAAAAGTACCAATAAACTCAATTAAAAAAAAAAAAACCCACAAAAACAAAAACTATTGTATTCCACACAACCTGGCAAAGCTTGCTAATATCAACCAAAATCAAACTCAAAAGAAAAATAAAAAGTTTTTGGTGGTACTGGTGATTGAGCCCGGGGAGTTCTACCACAATACTTTTTATTTTGAGACAAGGTCTTGCTCAGTCACCCAGGCTGGTATCACAAATGAGATCATCTTGGTTTAGCCTCCCGGGCAGCTGGGACTTGGGATGTGCACCACTGCCTGCTCCAAACTGTTCTGCGAGGCGGAACTGTGCCATGGAGTCTAAAGATTCCTTTCTCCTTTTAAAGTCCTTTGGCAAATACTGCCAGTAACGAATTTCTTAACAAAAACCAAAAAGACTATGCAGAAAGCGCAATTCATTTTATAACTCTCCAACATGCAGTATTAATGATTTTTGTTAAACACTCATGTTAAAGATGACATCTAGTTCTGTTCCTTCTCCAGATTCATCTGCCTTCTGAGGTATGCTAAGTAGCAAAACGCCTTGCTGACAGGGAATGGCAACCCAGAAAATGTGATCTCTGACTCTCATCCCATCTAGGGCCAAGCCTGGGAGTCTGACTTATTCAGAACGGGCAGAGGAAGAGGCAACAAATCCCCAGCAAGCCTCAGCTGAACCGCCAAAGGTAATAAAGACTTAGAAATTGCTCAAAGCCACAGACTATTATCCAAGAGTCACAAAACTCACAATTCTGCATTTTACTTAAAATAGCAAGACAGTATGGTATGGGCGGGAGAGGAAGGGGGTATCTAACCAGGAACTCTGCCAATGAGAAAGTCACATGAAGCCTGGCAGACATGAGAAGCCACAGTCACCATGCTCAGTCACCATGGGCCCACTCGCAATCCAACCGTGGCAACATGAGACGAGGTGTTGTCCACCATGGCAAGCAACACTGCTCACCTGCTTGTGCGCATGGTCATAGGAGTTGATGTGGTTGTCAAACTCCTGGTGCTTCTGATACTGCTTGTCACAGAGTTCACAGTAGAAGTTGGCACGGAGGTCTTCCAAGGCCTTGGCGATCGCCTTCTCTTTGTCAACGTAATCCTGAAAGACCCACAAGAAACCCAAATGATAAAGATAAATGCTAAACTTCAGGTGGATGCTATGAGTAAAACAACACATTTTGGCTCCTAAAATCTCAGACATTGGACAATCTGTTACAGAACATGAAGTGACTATAAATTACTTAAGTACGAAATAGAATTCCAAAAATGACCAAGCATGAAACGCCATAAAAGTAAGCAAGCAGACTGCAGAAAGAATCAGAGAAGATGCTAACAACTGCAGCATGTAATTATAAAACAAGCAAATGGGCTGGGGATTTAGCTCAGTGGCACTGCACCTGCCTTGCAAATGCAAGGTCCTGAGTTCAATCCCTGGTACAAAAACAAAACAAAACAAAACAAAAAAATAAACAAAAACAAGCAAATGAATAAAGAAGAAACCCAAAGCACATCAGATGGGCTCAAAAGGGTTCACGGCGACGCTGCAATACGAATGCAGAGTGGCTGCACAGCACTGGGGACACTGCTCTAAAGCCTGAAGTGTAGGCCTGCAATGGGTTTTGATTTATGATACACACAGTGAGCTCCCCTTTAAAAAGATAGACAAAAACAAAAACAAACAAACAAACAAAAAACCTAACCCACAAGTACAAGCACAGATGAGAGAGCCAGATGTTCAGGTGGTAACAGCTATGATTTCTCCGCAGTGCATGGTGTGGTGCCACAGAAGCAAGTGCTGCAAAGCTCCTCACTGCAGCTCCAGAACCAGTGTGCATCTGTGCTCAGGCGGGCACCACAGAGGCGAGCACAAGTGCCCAGCCAGTAGGGCACAGACCACGTGAGGCCCGGCAGCAGGCACAGTAACCACAGGACAGGAGAGAGGTTACCTACACCTCAGGGATTTCACCAGAAAACCACTCCTTTTCCCTATGGCACCTTCTTTACAGTTTCTCTGAGAATCTTCTTGTAGCAAACATTTATAATTGTTTTTATCTTTGTTCCCCAAAATGCTTTTGCTGGGTATACACCTGTGGGGTGATGATTGTTTGCAGAAGCACATTTGTGTCTAACTTGTTACTGCAACAGTAATTTGAAGATTATGTCCTGTCTTTTTTGCAGTGTTGGGAATCAAATTCAGAGTGTCACATGTGGTAGGCAAGTGCTCTACCCTGAGCTCCATCCCCAGCCCAAGACCATGCTTTTACTTTGGTTTCGTGCAGTTTTTGCTCTGTGATGTGTCAATGTGGGATTTCTGGTCATGTCTGAGACTCAATGGGCTTCCTCCGCCTGCAAGTCGGTGTCTTTCATCCATCTGGGGTTCTTGTCTTCCAGCATCACCTCTGCTTCATTCTTGCTTCCTTTAGTTGTCTCCCCATGCATCAGAGCAGTGCTACGATCTAATGCAGCCTCTGTAAGTACTATGCTCCATTTCTGTCTTGATCTCCCCACTCTGTACTCTGAATATTTCCTTAGCAGAGTTGTAACACTCGGATCTATGCAATCTCTCCAAATCATCTCAATGACTTTTATTTTTTGAGAAAGGTCTCACAGGCTGGCCTTGAGCTCAGGATCTCCTGCCTCAGCCTCCCTGGTGCAGGGATCCCAGTGTGTCACCTCGCCCAGCTACAGTGGGATTTTTTTAGTCTTCCTGTTCTTTGCTCATCATTTAAGTCCATTTTATCTTTACATGTTTTACACCCAAATTTCTTACGTGCTTCAGCTAATACTCTAAGTCCTACAGAAGTAACTGACTCTTTTCTCCCTGCTCACTCTAGTCTCAGCTTTCTGAGTAAGCTTGTGACTCTTCTGCCTGCACTGCCCTTTCTGAGAGTATTAAATACTCCAGGAGTCCCTGGAAGCCTGTGTGGATCTAGAGGCGGCTGAATGTTTCTCCAGGAGGGTACTAACTGCCTGAGACTACCTTAAACCACTGTATTTCATTTACTCTTAAAATGCCACTCAGCCAGGCATGGTGGCACACACCTGTAATCCCAGCACTTGGGAGGCTGAGGCAGGAAGACCACTGTGAGTTCAAGGCCAGCCTGAACTATCTAGTGAGACCCTGTTTCAAAAGAAAACTAAAAGTTATTGCTTTCGTGAACTTTAATTCTTATTTTTTAATCCCATAAGAAATTCTTGGGCCGGGGATTTAGTTCAGCGGTTCAGTGGCCTGCCTTGCAAGCACAAGGACCCGAGTTCAATCCCCAGGACCAAAAAAAAAAAAGAAAAGAAATTCTTATTTTAAGCCCATAAAAAATTCTTACTTTAAGTTTACCTAAATACTTAACCATTTTCTCTATTCATCATTTATTTTTGTGTCTAAAACCTTCCTGAAGTCATTTTCTTTCTGAAGAACAATCTTTACCAAATTCAATCACTTCTCATAGCCTGTTTGTCTGAAAATGGTTTTATCCACCCTTGCATTGGCAAGACTCTAGCTGGTGTGTAACTTCAGGCTGCCAGGTACTTTCTGCACAACAATCTATTTCCAAATGCAGCTTGTGAGAAGGCCTCAGCCTGCAACTCTTAGGAAGCAAACTGTTTCAGGGGACCCTGAGGTCTCTGCGACACCCACATGCTAGTTTTAAAAGGATGTCTTTAGACACAGATTACTTTTTATTTGCTCAGCTTAAGATTCTTCGGGCATCTCACATTTTTATTTGGGTATTTTTGTTTTCTCTCTCTTTTTTTGTACTGGGGGTTAAACCTAGGTCCTCAGGCAGGCTAGGCAAGCACTCTACCATTAAGCTGTATGTCCAGTTCTTCTTTAGTAAAGAGTTTACCTTTATCCTGGGTGTGGTAGTGCACACCTGTGATTCTAGCCCTCAGGAGGCTCAGGCAGGAGGATCATCACCATGAGGCCAGCCTGGGCTACATAGTGAGTTCAAGGATAGTCTGAACTATATAGTGAGACTGTGTTTCAAAAAACCAAAACCAAAACGAGTTTATTTTGAATGAAAGCCTTGCTAAGTTCAAATTGCCAAGGCTTGCCTTGAGCTTCTACTCCTTGTGCTCAGCCTCCCAAATAGGTAGGCACCCCGAAGCCCAGCTATTATCTTTTTTAATGGCTGAAAAATTCCAGCCACTGCCACTTCAAATACTGCTTCTGACTCATGTTTTTCGTTTCTTCCAGAATTCTAGTCTTTTGTTTGTTGTTTGTTTTGAGACAGGGTTTTGCTGTGTAGCTCAGGCTGGCCTCGAACTCATGATGACCCTCCTGCCTCAGCCTCCTGAGTGCTGGGATTACAGGTGCGCACCATCACACCCAGCTTACTCCATTTTTAAAATGGCACACTGAAAGAAAAAATTCAACTCAATACTTCCATAGAACAAATTTCTGCTTTAGAATTGAATTTAATTAGCAATGAGCAAAAACATTCTTAAATCTTGCTCTTGAAACACCCCACTCTTTTTTGGTACCAGAGATCGAACTTGGGCCCTCGTGCTTCTAGGGCAGGCATTGGAACCACTGAGCCAAATCTCCAGCAGTATACCCTACTCATTTTAAAAGCACAGCCAAACTGTGTTAACTCCTCAAGCTCTCAACAGATGGATTCTTAGCTTTTTTTTTAGCAGCACTACACAAGTGCTGCACCGCTAGACTCCACCCAAGCCCTTAGTAACAACTGCAACTGCTGCTACCACTTGGCCACCTATGCACCAGGCAGTGCAGCTTCAAATGTTACTAACAAAGTCTTCCCAGCAGACCATGAAGGAGGCACGAGACCTCTAAGTCTGCCTGCAGTGGTGAACAAGGAAGCAGCAAAAACCCGAGCTCTGCTGTCTGTGCCTGACTCACCCCCAGTGGAAAGGCATGGTGTGCTCAGGGGTGAGCTCTTGCAGAAAGGGTATTTCACCAACCTTGTACTTCTGCCTCAGCTCTTCTGTGTCTTCTTTTTCCACTTCTAGGACACGGCGCCGTTCGGTAGCATCTTCGGCATAATCGAGCTTGACAAAAAGAGAGTTAGTTTTATTTCCTATGGAGCCCCAAAATGAGCTATGAAAAAGGCACTGGCACAACTACAGTGCTGCCTGAAGAACTTGGGGACCCTGCTCGAGACTTCCTTGATGCTGTGCTGTCCCCTGAGAAAAGAACACAGCACGACTTGTTAACCCTTTTGTGCTGGTGGCTTCCCTCCAAGAAGCACATTCTCTTAAAACAGACTTCAGTTCTACGTTCATCACCAAGTGAGCAATGGGAAAGGCAGAAAATATGGACAAATGAAAGCAGGTATCACAGATGATAGCCGTACACAACTCTCCGGGCAGCTTCCAGCACCATACCTGTCCCAGGAGTGAAGGAAGGAGCACCACTGCTGATACCAGCACCAGAGTCTGTCGGGCTCACCCAGATCTGGCTTCTTGGTGTCACTTGGAAAAGCCACTCAAATTCTTTATACCCCCGTGCCAGCAGGGGTGTGTGAGTGCCCTATGGGCCTCAGAGGCAGCAGTAATGGAGAATGTAAAATACATCATTTAACTGCACAAAGGAAAGGTTCAACGCTCTACTCCGCCTGGTCAGTGTTTTCCTGCACCAGCACCTGAATTTGGAGCTAACACCAATCTCAGCACACAGCCCGAGGAGACGGCTCACCTCCATCTCCATGCGGCCCATGCCCATGACATCATACTTGACAACGATGGGAATCGGGTCGGTTCTCCCTGGAACAGGAACATACAGCCAGGGTCAGGCGTGGCCAAGCCAACACTAAGGTGCACATTAGGCTGGGCAGTTAGAGGTCTTGCCATGGAGCGCAGAGACCAGAAAGCTACAGTGACCAAACACAGCCATTCTCACAGCTTACACACAGCTCCTCCTGCCCTGGCTTGAGCCAGTGACACTGTACAGAGGAACCCCGCCCCCCACTCGGAACAGACCAGACCACACCGGCAAACTCAGTTGCTTAGTGATGCCTGGTGGGGCTGAGCAGCAGCACAGTAGGCTTCTGCTGAAAACTGCAGCAGTCCCTCTTTAAAGGGTTCCAAGTACTTCCCAGGATCACCCCACTCCATGCACCGACACCCTCCAGCACATGGAGACCCTCCACTGACAGGCTTAAATCGAAAAGCTCGCTGTCAAATATGATGCAGTTAAACTCTGGAAGTACATACCACCAGGTGCAGCTTTTTTGAGTAAAAAGCAACAGCTGTCCTTAGGGACAAAGCAGTTTCACTTTTATCTGGTTGCATTTACCAGACTGAATTTAACATGGCTGTGCTGATTGGTAAGCTGTGAAAAGGACTAGTTGCGAAGAAAATTGACTTTAAACTAATTGATCTATGCTGGAAAAGTTTTAAATAAATATATATTTAATCCACTCATAACCAGCCAAACAAAGCAAAATGGGGCAGACAAGCACTTTACTACCACAGCTGTTTTACATCACAACTTGCGAGGGGCGTTGTGATGTAAGCCCACTGAGAAGGGACTTACCTTACCCGCGTGCACCTTTGTGAGAAAACTCAGGGTTTACTTCCCTCATTATTCACTCAGGTTGGTGTGAACAATCGGTTTTTGTTGTTATACACACATAAATATTATACCTTTGGGCTAAAAACTGATTTTCATCAGGCTAAATCTCAAGGATCAACCCCCGCCCCAAAAAAGCCATGATCGTGACAGGTTTCTGTCATGCAGAAAAAGAAGAAACTACTTTTCAAAATGAACAGCAACTATGTGTGTCCAGTTGCTCTATATTTGCAGATTCATTTTCTGTCTTTAAAACACAATGAAAAATAAATTCAGAAATTCATCAATATATCACTAATATCACATTGCTTTTAAACAGATAATTAGGAATGATTAGCATAATTTAAAAATCTGTTTAAATAAAGAAAATCTTATGAGGGCAGTTCTCCAAGTGCTCAGCCCTTCTGTGGATACTACCAAAGGCTGCCATCGAACAGTAAGGCTTGCCAGGGATGTAGCTCAGCAGCACCACGCCTGCCTGGCAAGCGGGAGGTCCTGAGTTTGATCCCCGGTAACAAAAAAAAGGAAAGGGGGAAAAAAAACCCAAAACAACCACCTTGGCTACCTTATGCCCAATGGTATAATAAATCCGCAGTGACTGCAATCTTTAGCAAAAGGACCAAATTAAAGACAGGTTATAGAAATGACTTCCTAAGTGCAGTATCACTTTCATAACATCTCAGGGATTTACTGGTAAAAACTAATGGTCCAATGATGGAATTGAAAAGAAATGTCCAATTTACTTTCTTTTTGGTATCATTTTTGTTCTGTGAGAATTTGTTCTGTAGTAAGAGTGTTTCGGTACAAATTCTTTACTTTTGTAAACCCCTGTTATAAACTGCATTAGTACTTTTGCCTTCTAAGGCAGTCAAAGTTTTAAAAATTTACTTATAAATTGCAGTAGCAAGTGCTAGTGCCCATTACATTGGGAATCAAGTTTTTGACAGTATTAGAATTTAACGTTTTAACTGATTTCTTTGGCAGTTCTAACACAAACAGACACATCCCTTCTTAACAGTACCCTTCTGTGAACAAGGGTCAGACAAGTTGCAGAAGGAAAGGAAAGGAAAATGAAATAGACCAAGCAGAAGGATGAAGGCTACAACAGAGAAAGGAAGCCTAACGTATTGGTGCACTGATGACAAAGGAGGAATTCAGTCTGAAAATAAAAAATTACCACTGCTAAGTTTACCATCACCACAACAAGTCCAGGGTCATAACGCTGTAAAAAAGAAACACCATCTGTTAGGCAGCAACCATGAGGGTGGGAAGCAGACCTTCTAGCAGGCCAGGGTGTTTCCATGGGGCCTATCCCTCCCCCGTTCAGCCAGGACCGAGGGGAGGTTCCTGAGCAGCAGCTGCTTCCCGCTGGTAGGCAAGGTCCAAGACCTCTGTGCCACTCGCTGTGGGGACAGGAAGACTGGGGCAGTGTTGCTGGGTTTACCGCAGAACTAGCTCTAGCTTGCAACCTCTCATTCAAGCTTCACCTGGGAAGTCAGGGTTCAGGGCCCAAAGATGGAGCTTTCTTTAAGTCACAGCACAATGGGATCAGATCAAGTGGACAGAGAAGAGATGATCAGCCTCTTCTGGAAGAACCCTAGGGGCAGGGCTGGTGGTGCTGAAAGACCGCTCTAAGAGTTTGTGACGATAAGAGGTCTGGCAGTCGAACCTCTCAGAGGTCTCTGTGACATGAACAGCTCAGGACCCTTGAGCGTGAGCCCACTAAGGACTGAGCAGGACTCTGTAAGCAAACTCTCCCCACACTCTGCTTCCTCTTCATGCAGACCTTGCAGGCCTGCTAATGTCCTTCTGCACTTTCCACATGCAACCAAGCCAAGCTGCGGAGGAACCTCCAGAGACACTCCAGAGACCGCAGCCGAACTCTGCACTCACTGAGGAAGGAACAGCAGCCCGGCTTCCTACGTGAGCGAGCAGGAGGTGACTTCTCCCTCTGCCTTCCAGAGGGAGCCTCAGAGCAAGGAGAACATGGTGGGCACACACCACACGCACACACACACCATTACAACACTCCACATCGAAACACACAACCCCTACACACCCCCACACTCAACACTAAACACACAGCATCCATTCCACACATGACCACACCAAGCACCACCCCCATACGCAGTTCTCAGTCTCCAATCTATTGACACTAAGTTCTGTGTGAGGAAGAACAGGACTTGAGGACCAAGTAAGAACCTGCGGTGACAACTTCTGAAAGGCCAGCAGCAACAGAATGTCCAATAATACCTGTTCTCTACAAAACTCAGCTTAAAAAAATACTAATGAACCAAATCCAGGTTCCCTATCTCTTTTTTGTAAGCATGGCAACTATTAAGTAAATTATTAAAAGTTTTTGTTGTTTATTTCACTATAAAGGAGGGAACTTTGACAACACTAAATTCTCTCCTTCAAAGAAACTGGCCTATAGAAATTGATCTTTACATGCTATGACCGCATGCTGGCCAACTGGAGAGGGGGAATTAAAGGAACCAAAAAACAACACAGAACACATGCCAAATCAAGAGCACACCATTTTTTTTTTGGACCCAGGGATCAAACTCAGGACCTTACACTTGTGAGGCAGGCAGCAGAACCACTGAGCTAAATGCCTGGCCCGATATTCATACTTTCAAATAAAAACTTTATGATGTTTTACCAATCAATGGGAATTTAACAGTCTCTACTTCCAAATTTATTTGTGTCTTGGTGCTTACAGGCACTCTACTACTGAGCCACACCCTCAGCCCTAACTGTCCACATTTAAGATCTGGTCTTACTTCTACCACGGAAAGTCCCTAAATGCTGCTGTAAAGAGGTCCTGTCAAAATGCAAAGGCATTATGATTTGTAAAGCGTGAACAAGATCAAACAGAACAGGGCCCAGTACGCACCTCAGGCTGGTACACGGCACACTGAGGAGGCTGAAGTGGGAGGCTCACTTAACCCTAAGAATTCAAGGCCAGACTGTGCAACACAGAGCTACCTGTCTTACATGTACACACACTGTAAAAAGCAAATAAAAAAACAACCACAACAAAAACCCATAAGAACCTACTGATTATCCACAGCCAGTCCGTCTCTGAACCATCTCTCAATAATTCTGATTTTAAAACAGTTAAGGAAATACCAATCTAAACAACCAAGAACCCAACTACAGAGAATACTTACAACTACAGAGAACAAGCAGGAAGAAAATATGAAAAGACAATCATAATCTGGTAGCCAGCCACTGAAGAAGAACAGATGACTCCTCTGGGGAACGATAAGACCTAGATGACCCTGACACTGGCTAACTGCCCACAGTTAGAGGCCACACTGAGCCCTGCCCTTCCTCAGTCACTAGCACCAGCACCTTTTCATTCAGGGCTGGACATGCAGCTCGGGGTGGAAGTACCTGGCTGGCACATGCTGCAAACACAACCAAACCAACCTTAGCCCTAGGATCCATAAGACACTGTTCTAGGCACCTGCACATAGCAGCGATTAAAGACTGATCCTAAAACAAAAGTAAAACAAAAGCCAGCAAAAGGTGTCAAAATCCACTTCTAAAAGACCCATAATGATAGAGACTATCAACCTACCCTGACACATTTCTTATTCCAAGCAACTCAAATATGTGGGATCCAGGGCAGAATGGGAAAGTGACCCCTCCCTGAAGCAAGTGCAGCAGGGCTAGCAAGCTGGCAACTCACAGCTCGTGCCTCTGGGTGCACGTCAAAGCCACTGCATGGCTGCAGCGACCCTGAGGAGAAAGCAGTCAGCCCAGCAGCCCAAACTCCTGGAATACAGCTCACAGTGGCTTGTCAACAAGGATTAATTTCAAATCATTTAGGTATTTTCCTTAATAACTGCTACCTCATAGGAAATACCCAGCACTGTAACTGAACCCTACAGTTAGTTTTATTTTAGAGCTTCCTAGCTAGTTATTTAAAGTTTTTCTTAAAAAAAAAAAAAAAAAAAAAGACTTTGGACTCATATAAGAGTTCAAATTATCCACCTCTACAAAAACTATTGTATATTCTTTCTGTGGACTGTTGAGTGACCTACAGAACCAGGCAAATTTAACTTCAACACAGATATGTTAAGGCCAGAAGTTTATTCAGGACCTGACACTTTACAAAAGCACTGCAGCTGGCTTCTAGGACAAAACAGGTCCATTTTAGCAGCAGCAGCCACTGCGCTACAGG